TTAAATCTAGTCTCTTCCCACACCATTCCTTCCCCGGTTAGTCAAACCAAGTGTAGAAATGTTCACACGATCTAAAAAAGTTCAATGACGGTTAAGGATTGAGGAACATCTTCTTTGGGAAAGCCATGTGTCTTTTTTGCATAGCTGAGTGTACTTGCTTGATTATGTTTAACAAACATAATAAAGCACTTGAGGCAAGCAACTTGAAGTATTAATAATACTTCAAGTTTTATCATTTGCTGATCTCTCATAATTCACTCGTCACATGTGAATAAGAATTTAGTATGATGAGCTACTTGATGTCTGGTTGGCTGGCTCTATCAACTGAGAGTATTGGGTTATAGAAATTCGGTTAAATAGCCAATCTGGCAAGTTCCCAAACTGAATTGCCAGATTAGTATAACAAACTGACTGTAGAAAAAAGAAATAGAGTTGCTTCTTTTTTATTTACAACTGATCTAAATCTGATGCACAACCGAGCACAATGACCCCGAATGTGTAACGAAATATGACCTATTCTTCCACTAGCTAATCACTTCCCCTCTCTTCCAACCATAATTCATCTCTCTCTCATTGTGTGTCGTATTCATTCACTCTCTTTTTATATATATACAGTGTCGCTCTCTGCAGTTAATATCAATATCGAACTTCAGACGTTTTGTACCATTCTTGTAAGCATATACTGGTATGTATTCGAAGCTCATTTTTTCCCTGCTTTTGTACCACGCAGAACTGGACAAGTCAGGATTTTTTCAAGTCTCAGCCAACGAAAAGATTCTTCAAGTCAGTCAAGTCTGACTTGACTTGGAATAGAGGCGTTTTTGTCTTGACTTGTCCAGCTCTGCATGGAAAATGACTCTACTTAGATCTTTAATATCATTTCTCTGTATTAAAAGAATGCACTTTTAAAATGACTTAAGAGACAGACAAAATTAGTAGTCGATCAGAAGATCGGTAAAACCTTTTCCCAAGTCAAGTCTGACTTGACTTGTCCAGCTCCGGTACCACGTTCATTGAAGCCTAAGAAAATACACGTCTCAATTTCGCATAAATAATTCCAATTAAATATTGAATTTTTCTGCATGGATTGTAGAGATTAAATGGAAAAATCTGTCTGTAATATACTTGCAGTTACTATCGATATACAGTCCGCAAGGGAGAGCTTTACAAAACTACATAAAATCGGCTAGCTAAGAATCATAATTACAAAAGGTCTGATTGAAGAAATTGAGAGGTAGCCGAAATATGATCAGCAAGTTTGTACGAAACCTCTTTTGCTAGGGTTTAATACGAAACCCGTTGTACGAAACCTTTTTTGTCAATAAAAAAATAGAGGTTTCGTAGCTGAACGCCGGAACCTAGGTTCGTACGAAACTTAAAAGGGTATAGAAATGGTTGCAATTCTCTATACCCTTTTAAGTTTCGTAATAAACCATTTTTTTTAAGAGAGTAGATAGGTAATGGCAATCTGAAATTCTCGTTCTAATATAACTGTTTCACTTGTCAATGTTATTAATTCTAACCGCTGATCGCCATCATGCTCGTACAAAAGCTTAATATTTGATAGTAGGTTAGTGAGTCTCCTGTCTTTTCACATTTCATCCAGAGGACCACAACTTATGTAATTGAAAACATGTGTTGATACCGTGTAAAGATTGTTCCAACTATGTTTTTAAAGAAGACTGCATATTCTTCATCGCTCTCACTTTGACCTAAATGCACTTTAACACGGTATACAATTTGGATGATAAACCTTTTATATGAATTGGGAAACAGTCACTAAAGCACAAACAAATGTCATGTGTCTGATAGTAGCAGTTGCAAGTTTGCTGTGGTAACTTACGAAAGCTGTTCGAAATTACCAGACAGTTGATGTATACTACAATAATTGATGTTACGAATAGTGGTAATAACATTGTTTCAAAGTATACAAACGGTTTGAGAAGGAACGGCTATTTTAAAAATACTCTGATCTTTATACTTCCACTAAAATATGATAGGCCAGGACACAAAGAATGTCAAAAGTACCCTTGAAACGTTTGTAGGTTTGTTTTTCTTAGCATATGCTGAAAATGCAAAGCTCTTTGAAACTATTTGATGTCGCGAAATTTAAGATGTATCTGGGAAATCTCATATGATTTTATCAAAATATTTCTAAGATTTTATAGGATTAAAGAAAAACCTTCGTATTTCTAAAAGCTCTGTCCAACTTTCTAGCAATCACCAATTCCATTGCTTTGATAAACTAACTTTCGTACGAATTTTATTCATCTTCAATGGTTTTAGATTAAACTGATCAAAAATTTTCCAAGTAAACAGACAGAACAGACACCAAAGAGTTTCTACTAAAAGGGTATAGAGAATTGCAACCATTTCTATACCCTTTTAAGTTTCGTACGAACCTAGGTTCCGGCGTTCAGCTACGAAACCTCTATTTTTTTATTGACAAAAAAGGTTTCGTACAACGGGTTTCGTATTAAACCCTAGCAAAAGAGGTTTCGTACAAACTTGCTGATCATATTTCGGCTACCTCTCAATTTCTTCAATCAGACCTTTTGTAATTATGATTCTTAGCTAGCCGATTTTATGTAGTTTTGTAAAGCTCTCCCTTGCGGACTGTATATCGATAGTAACTGCAAGTATATTACAGACAGATTTTTCCATTTAATCTCTACAATCCATGCAGAAAAATTCAATATTTAATTGGAATTATTTATGCGAAATTGAGACGTGTATTTTCTTAGGCTTCAATGAACGTGGTACCGGAGCTGGACAAGTCAAGTCAGACTTGACTTGGGAAAAGGTTTTACCAATCTTCTGACCGCCTACTAATTTTGTCTGTCTCTTAAGTCATTTTAAAAGTGCATTCTTTTAATACAGAGAAATGATATTAAAGGTCTAAGTACAGTCGTTTTCCATGCAGAACTGGGCAAGTCAAGACAAAAACGCCTCTATTCCAAGTCAAGTCAGACTTGACTGACTTGAAGAATCTTTTCGTTGACTGAGACTTGCAAAAATCCTGACTTGTCCAGCTCTGCGTGGTACAAAAGCAGGGAAAAAACGAGCTTCGAATACATACCAGTATATGCTTACAATAATGGTACAAAACGTCTGAAGTTCGATATTGATATTAACTACAGAAAGCGACATTGAATACATACAAAAAGAGAGTGAATGAATACAACACACAATGAGAGAGGGATGAATTATGGTTGGAAGAGAGTGGAAGTGTTTAGCTAGTGGAAAAATAGATCATACTTCGTTACACACTCGGAGTCATTGTGCTCGGTTGTGCATCAGATTTAGATTAGTTGTAAATAAAAAAGGAGCAACTCTATTTCTTTTTTCTACACTCAGTTTGTTATACTAATCTAACAACTCAGTTTGGGAACTTGCCAGCTTGGCTATTTAACCGAATTTCTATAACCCAACACTCTCAGTTGATAGAGCCAGCCAACCAGACATCAAGTAGCCCATCATACTAAATTCTTATTTACATGTGACGAGTGAATTATGAGAGATCAGCAAATGATAAAACTTGAAGTATTATTAATACTTCAAGTTGCTTACCTCAAGTGCTTTATTATGTTTTTTTAAAGCAAGTACACTCAGCTATGCAAAAAAGACACATGGCTTTCCCAAAGAAGATGTTCCTCAATCCTTAACCATTATTGAACTTTTTTAGATCGTGTGAACATTTCTAAACTTGGTATAACTAACCGAGGAGGGAATGGCATGACAAGACAGTAGATTTAACTTTTCCCGATGAAATAGGCTATAGTTCATGCAAAAAGCAAAGAAATAAAATAGTCATCTTTCACTGATGATTTTGTGAAATTTCTACTAAACCTTTAATGCTATGAAACCACTTCGCCGGTTTCGTATACTTTGTACAAAACCTTGTAGAAAAACATTTTGTTATGAGGTTTCGTACCGTCTAACAAACCTTTTGAATTTCGAAATTTCACTACAAAACCATTAAAAGTTTCGAAAAAATACACGAAACCTTAATGGTTTAGTATGGAGCCTTTTTTTTTAGAGAGTACATAGTTCATTTTTTTGAAATTCTAAACTGAAAGTAATGTATACGAAACTCAGTTGGCATCTCCAAAACAAAACCATAAAATTTGTACTTGAAATTCAGCCTAGTGGAATTTGTCTTCTTTCCTACCCAATCTTTGTTGTTTCTAGAAATAATATCCAACTTAAAGTTTTGACTGAATTAATGCAAATTGTCGCAGGGCCTACGTTAAAAGTAACTTTCCTAGTTAGTTAATTTAACCTCTGAGCTAAGTTTTCTTTCTTTTATTTGATTTCACACACAGTTGCAACTGAGACTACGTACTTGCCAAGTCTAGTTGAAACTTCAGAGGTGTATAATAGATAGCTTTTACTGAACGTGTCTGCATGCCAGCAAAAGGCTTGTTGAGTAGATTCGTTCTATCGTATACGGACGGAGCAGGTTAATTTCGAAGTGTCTTATCACTTCTCATCTTTGCAACAAAAACGGTAACTTAGTTTGCAACTGTATAGCATGCATAAAAGTAGATTTGAAACTCTGTGACTCTTTTTATTTTATCACACAAGTAAAGGAGTAAGAAGTAAGGAGATCATAAGAAAACTGTTAACTGCAGCAACGCTCCATGCTCGTGCATACCTGGAATGAAACTCTCGATTTTCATTGTGGAGACCGATCGAATAGTTGTGATGAAGTCGGATCCTCTCGTGTGATCGTTCTACTGAAGTTCTTTGAGTGTAAAGTTAAAATTACCACCAATTGATTTTCACACCTTTAGCTTTGGCTGCTTCCATCAAGCTTCGTCCACCTTCACTTGTCTCTGTAAACTGATTTCCACCGATCCAGAACTCCTTTAATGTTGAATTCGATCGCATTCCTTTGGCTAATGCTTTAGCACTAATGTCTGTTAATTGATTTCTATACAGGCTTAACTCCTGGATAGTTTTGTTTGAGTATAAAGTTAAAATTACGACCAATAATTCTACCATTTCAGTTTCACACCTTTAGCTTTGGCTGCTTCCATTAAGGTTCGTCCACCTTCACTTGTCTCTGTAAACTCATTTTTACCGATCCTAAACTGCTTTAATGTTGAATTCGATCGCATTCCTTTGGCTAATGCTTTAGCACTAATGTCGGTTAACCGATTATTACTCAACCATAATTCCTTGATAGTTTTGTTTTGTTCTAACATTTGTCCCAATGCGTTTCCACATGCATCCGACATTTTACCTCCTATCATTATCATAGTCTTTATCGATTGATTTGATTTTAATGCAGACGCAATTAGAACAGTGCTTTCGCTGTCAATACAATTGTTGGCAAATGTAACATGGTTCAATGTCGTTGTTGATTTGATTAGATCACTTAAGTAAACAGCACTCTGGACAGTCAGATGAGGATTTTTTAGTATACAAAGGTGAGCAACAGTTATATTTCTCTTCAGTGCTTCAGTTATTATTTTAAAATCATTGTCATTTATTGTAGTTAAGCAAAGGAAGAGTGCATTAATTTCTTTGTTAACTAGAAGAACATCAGCCACTATCGAACCGGAGACTGGAATTAAATACTTATCGCGTTCACCAAAAAAACGTAGATTCTTTATAAATCGATTTGTTCTTAACGACTTCATAATTATTTGAAAACATTCATTTGAAATAGTCTTTAACCGCATGATGAAATGAACTATGTCCTTGTTTAAACTTAAAGCATCGACAATTGCCTTACTCTCATAAACTGATAAATCGTCAATTTCTATAGTCAATACTCCGTCTTCTGCCGTATTCATTTTGATTTGTTGTACAAGGTCTTGCACTTCTACTCTTAGTTCGTTTGTACGTGTAGACTGTTGTTGGTTTAACAATAAACTCGTTTCAAGATTTATTGAAAGTTCTGTAGCTGAAGATTGTGTAAAGGGTGGTTTTAATAAAACGACGGGGCTATCAGTTACTTCTCTCAATTGAATGATATTAAGACCAGGTGCCGGACGAACTTTTCCAGTAACGACTAGTTCTATACCGGGTAGCAAAAGTACTTCATCTTCTGCGGCAAAATACGAATGATCTCGGATTACTTTTCCGTTGAAACATTCAATATTGAAGAGAGTCCGAGT